TTTTTTCTACTATATATCCACTTATACTTGTATTTCTTTAGAATCTATATCTGTAAGATATATAAATATATCTAATTTACGTGACCAGTATAACTTGATCTTTCTAAAGGTTTAAATATAGGCCGTTTAATAAATTTATGGCGTGATCGTCTTAGTTAGGACCCTTTTTTAGGTTGTGTTTGTATAGTAACTTAGTTCTTTTAGGTGTATCTTGGAAGAATGAAAATATTCACGAGAGCAATCGAAAGCTGTTGGTAGAGTCTTATAAGCTAGAGAACCCCGTTCACGAAGACAGAGCTCAAAAAGGTTAAGAACAATAAATTGTCCCTATTCCACTTGTATCTGGTTCACATCAGTCAATTCCTTCCCGCTTGGAAAAGGCTCACAATATTTATATCAAATACCAGTTACAAGGGCTTCGCTCTCCCACATTTAAAAAAAAATGTGGAGGAGGTACACGGTCCCACACACGCCGCGCACGGTGAGCGCCAACCATTTTAATGCGCTGCCCCCGAAGGTTACGCAAAGTTGGGAACTGGACCGTAGTCCACAGCAAAATAACTGGCGAACCAGTAAAAGAGGACTTGGCCCCTTGACAGTGCGTAAGCACAAACATCGACCGAAGTCGCGCATGTCAATGGGTGTAAACGCCATACATAATACGATCAAATCCAGCCACAGTGAAATGTACGTCACACGGGTTAGGCAACAATCAGCACACTGACCATAAAAAGCCCTCCGTGAGCGCCACCACCTGCCAGACCGCCGTTTCTACAGACGTGATGTAAGTGTAAGGCATCACCACCAATTGCATGGTCAGCACGGCCAATTGGCCGCAGAGCGTGTCATGAGTCTACCGCTCACCTCAAGGGAATGGGGTCCCACGTTGCGCGGCTTTCGGCCGCAGCCTTGAGAGCCTCCTCAGATTCTCCCTCCAGCTACCACCCGCATGAGGTCAACACATATGCTCCACCAACCAATACAATGGCAGATATAGCCAATAGGCAGTTATAAGATAATATTAATAATTCGCCATCAGAAAGGGTTTGTGTCACTGACGTTGAGTATATGCATTTTTCGATCATGTTTGTCTCACCCACGAACAAGTTGCCTTCAATCTCTCAAAGGTGGGAACTTTATAGAGATATATTATTAAGTTGTTATATAAAACATCATGGAGGGCAGACAGTCTGCAGCCCCGCAATGAAGGGACCCGACTTGGGCAAAGCTACTTAGGTTGTGAGTCAAACCAAGACGCAGAGAGCGCCATTGAGAATAGCGACCCGCCAAACAACCATCGTAGAGACGCAATGCTACAGAATGCAACAAGCATCAATACGACTATCGTCGGGCTTACACCATCCCAAGGTACCCCATACAGTCCCAGCAGACATCACCACCCGCATACCTCCATCGACCAGAACCACAAGATGCATCGAATCAGGTGCAGCACACCCGCAGATCCATCACAAGACACAATACTGCAAGTAGCAGTAAGCATCAATGCAACTATCATACGGATGGCGCCCCCTCACAACACACCCACATGATCCCTATCGACTTTGGTAACAAAATTTGATAATGTTGTTAACTAAAAATACCACCAACGTATCATAGTAGCACGGTACTAAGACGTCAGTAGCCAATACTCCACGTATCATAGCGCTATTGCACTAAGACATGAAGTTGAGTATGCTTGCTGCACTTAAAAGTACTACCAAACACACTCACCCTAATCCGAAAGATAGCCGACGTATCATAACGCTATGCGCTAAGACGCCGCCCACAACCGGTAGGGGTGTGCGATGTCCACGGGCAAGTCGTATTGCTACAACAAACCCGCTTACCACCGGCACTAAGATGATATGTCTAGGACATATCGGTTAGTGAGTCCAAGTTTACCTCGGTCTCAGAGGCTGCGAAGCAACCTACACGCCACTATAATAATCCTTTTCAAGTCCCATTTCTTTCAATATAATGCTTTTACATATTTGAGACCTTCCACATATTTGCTTTATTTCATAGACCATACTACTGTATGTCTTATTCATATGGGACTTCAAGTCATAACTCTGCTATCATAATGCTTATGCATCATAGAGACCTTCTATATTAATGCTTTGGTTCGTCAGACCTTACTATGTTAAGTCCCTAATATAGGACTAGTCATTGTGCAACCTTAGTACTAGCAGTCGGTCAGCCGACCACCCCATATATATGTACAACCTTGGCTATGTGTCTCCGACAACGCCCCAATATAAGGGAACATTACAAGAACACGTTCATTAACTTAGAAAATTTTAATCCATTTTTTTTCTATTATATTACAAATGTTATTTATCTTTGTTATTGCAATATAATCGCCTTGTATTTATATGATTTGATACATTTTTAACATTTTAAGCAGGTTTTTAATAAATTTAGAGATTTTTAGAGACATTTTATGCGTTTACTAATATATATATAATATTCAATATTCCAAATGGATATTTTTGAACTCTATGCTTATTATTTGCATTTTATTGTTTAAATTATTATTTCTATGACATTTTTAAATGTCTGTATAATGAATTTAATTATTATTTATTAAGATTAGTAAGCTGAAGTGGCAGTGGGCCGGCCATATAGCTCGAAGAACCGACAACCGATGGGGAAGAAAGGTTCTCGAGTGGCAGCCTCGTACCGGTAGGCGAAGTGTAGGGCGTCCCCCCACGAGATGGAGTGACGACCTGGTAAGACATGCAGGAAGTCGATGGATGCAGGTGGCTCAGGATCGTGCTTTGTGGCATTCTTTGGGGGAGGCCTATGTTCAGCAGTGGACTTCTAAAGGGCTGTAATGATGATGATGATGAATAATAATTATGAGGCGTCACAATCCACCCCCAAATTTTATGTTAATGATCCACATAGTGGAGTCGTTAATATAAAATTTTAGTATTTTGAGAGCATATACACTACACTCAAATAATTGTTTATATATCTGTTCTTTCCTCTTTTAATCTGTTACAATACGGCATATGTTATCAAATTCCCCTGCCCCAGAGAATGGCCGTCACCAACACCCCTTCAACCACAATTATCACATTGTGATAACACCATAATTCAAGTTATTGTATATCGTGTTGTTAATAAAGTTTGCAGTCAATTGTCGATTTCTTATTTTATTAATTTATCTTTAAATCTTTGAAACATTATTTCGATAGTGTCATACTTTATGTGCATACAATCCAGTTGGATATTTGTTGAGGTCAGTTCGATACCACATAGGATAAATGTGATTAAGCCATTCACCCTGACCCAACTCCCATATTTATTTAATAAAAATAATTACAAAATTATCTTACGATCTATATTTACAACTCTTCATTATATATTAATAACGTTCTACTATCATATAACAAATCTCTTGCTCATAACTTTAATAATTTTAGACCTTTAACTTAAACAATTATTTCCATGGGCCACCCACAAAACCCTTTTATGTTACAATATTTATTTAATTACTCTTATTTATACAAAAAAAAATTATTATTTAAAATATTTTAATAAGTGAATAGCATTGAAAATTCCTCTAATTTCGTTTGTCTCTGGATTTGCTAAGGTATATACATTGTCAAATGGTACGGCTGCTATTACATAAGGTCCTTCATATGCCAAATTGAACTTACTCATAACTTTATTATCAGCGTCTGATCTACTAGATCTTGAAATTTTTACTAAGTCACCAATATTATATTTTATTAATCTATTTCGCTTATCAAATTTTGTGTTTCTTATTCGACTTGCCTCTTTTAAATTTTTACGCACTTGTTGTCTAATTTGTTCGACATTATGTATGTCTTTACTTTTGGAAATTACTTTGTCAAAAGACATCTCATTAGACTCACCATAAAGAACACACAAGGCGTGAAGCCTGTACTATTGTGATAAGAATTATTATACAAGTCTTCTAATTTCGGCAATATTAACGCCCAATCTTTGTGGTTAGTATGACAAAGCGTCCTAAATAATCTGCTTAACTCTTTATTTACTCGCTCTGTTGTATTTGGTCTAGGATTTATAACTGTGGTATATATTGGCTTTATATTTAAATCTCTCATTGATTGTTTCCGGTGATTACTTACGAACTGTTTTCCATTATCTGTCATTATTGCCTTGGGCTTTATAATCTCAACAAAATACTTTACTTTTGTCACAACAGACTTTGCTGTTGACTGTTTTAAAGGATATAATTTGATAAATTTACTGAATGAATCTTGAATGACAAATATGAAAGTGTACCCAAAGGTACCTGATACAAGTGGTCCATATAAGTCTGCCATGACTATATCGCCAATGTTTTCTGTTATTATAGATTTGCAGGGACCCACATATGTTACATTGCTTTTCTTAGATAACTGACATAAATGACAAGCCCTTAATTGGTTTTTAATCTCTTTTGTTAAAACTTTCCAAAAGAATCTGTCTCTCACATATTCAATTACCTTATAGGGTCCTTGGTGACCCATTTCGACATGCACTTGATTTATAATATCTTGTCTCAATGCTTTAGGTAAATATATTACTTCTTGTAAATTCGTTTTGTAATATAATACATCACTTTTCAAACTATACCTTTTCAATTTATTGTTTTGTTTTATTATGGAAGTATTTAATGTCTTTAACTTTTCAATAATAGCCAACGACACTGAATCTTGTAATTGATATACTGATAAGGATTTTAATTTTTCTATCAACTCAATATTCGGTTCGCTCTCTGTGTAAGCAATTTCTAAACTATTATTTTTATCCTCTTGTATTAAATCGCCATCAGGAGGATAACGTGATAGCACATCTGCAACAATATTACGTCTACCCGATATATGCTGTACTTCATAATTAAATTGTTCTATATACAAAATCCATCGGGTTACTCTACCATTGAATAACTTCATATTATTAATAAACAATAATGCTTTATGATCAGTTAGTATTATTACTTTACTTCCCCTCAAATATGTTTAAAATTTCTTTAGGCAACTTATTACAGCATAAAACTCTTGTTCAGTAATAGACCAATTTAATTCGGGGCCTTTTAAGGCTTTACTATGATAGCCTAAAATTCTCATTTCATTATTATCATCTATCTGATATAGTACTCCGGCCATACCCACACCGGAACAATCTGTTTGTAAATAATACGGCTTATTAAAGTCTGGATGATGCAATTGTATTGTATTAATAAATTGTTGTTTTATAAAATCAAATGCCTTCTGTTCTTTACCGCTCCATTGGAACTTTCGTCCCTTTTTAAGTAATTCACAGAGCGGTATTATGCTCTCGCTGTAATTTGGTATAAAACTTCTATAAAAATTGCATAGACCTAAAAAGGCCCTCAATTTTTTAATCTTTTTAGGTGCTGGAAAGTCTTGGATCGCTCGAATCTTATCGGGATCTGTCTTTATGCCTTCTGTTGAAATTATAAAACCCAGCATTTTAATTTCTTTACAAATAAATTCACATTTCTGCAAGTTACACGTTAAGCCAGCTTTGTTCAATTTACTTAAAACAATATCAATGTGCTCCAAATGTTTATCTAACGTTCCTGTTGTAATAATGGCTAGATCATCTAAATAGTTCACACAAAATTCTTGGACTTCTGGTCCTAATATTAAATTCATGGCTCTGTTAAAGCTTCCTACTGATGTTTTTAATCCTTGCGGCAAAACATTATATACATATGACTTTCCATTGAATGTGAATCCAGTATATTTTCTACCATCTTTATTTATCGGAACTTGAAAATATGCATTATTTAAGTCAATGGTAGTGATATAATTCGCTCCGTGAAATGAATTCAAAACATCTAATTGTATAGGTGGTTTCTCTGTTTCTGCAACCATTTTCTTATTTATGCTTCTAGCATCAAGCAGAACTCTAATTGAGCCGTCTTTTTTAAGAGTGAATGTCAATGGACTACTGTAAGGCGTTGATGTCCTTGTGATGATACCAGCTTGTTCCATTTCATTTAACTTTTCTTCCATTTTCGCTCTATATGCATATGGAATGGGATAGGACCTAGTAACTATAGGTTCATCATCGATCATTTCAATTTTATGCTCATAGCAATTGGCTCTTCCCAATTTGCTCGAAAACATATTCTTATGCTTTTCCAAAACCTTACTAAGTTTTGCCCTTTCAGAGACCTCTAATGTAGATCCTATTTTTATATTTATTAAGGGATCATCGGTACATTGTTTGATGCAGTTATTAAGTAATACAGATTTATTATTATATTTGAAAGGTATAAAGTAGTCTTTGTTTCTCACCTTAAATTCTATTCCAACAGTAGTATTTCTCAAATCAATCAATATTTTATTTCTCTTGAGCCAGTCAAAGCCTAATATTAAAAGTCTTATTAAATTACCTACAATTAAAGTTTGTATTTCAAAGACTACTTCATCTATCTTTATAGGCAGCACCTTTTATTTGCATTGCTTTAACTGGCATTATTAATATTTTACGATTATTATCTTTAATTTGTAAATATAAACTTTCTGAAATGCATGTAACATCGCTCCCAGTGTCGAGGAGCGCGTCTATTTCTTTGTCAAATATTGAAACTTTAATTTCAGATCTCATATTCCCTATAAATTCCCTTTGATATTTATCTTCGTCTTCCTCGAAGACGGTTTGCACGAATAACTCCGTTATGGGCAAGTCCGACCTGGCTTTTAAGGTGTTTAATATGCTATTTACATTGTCGTTATAACCAAGGCTTTCTCTGTTAAAATTTGCTTTTAAAGTAATAGGTTTTCGCAACCCTCTATTGTTTTTACCCAATGTTTGACCAGGTCGCCAACCCAGTTTTAACAACATATTTAATGGTTTGTTCCCTTTTATTTTTTTCATTGTAAGGGGTCCAATCGGGAACTAGTTCGACCTCTACAGCTCTAAATTTGGCTCAGGGGCCTTAACATCAGGTTGGTCATTAGTGAAATGTATTTTATGTACTTCATTAACCTTCTTTTTTCCCTCTTCGGGTTTACGCCATGTTTTGTATGATTGTTGTATTTCTTTATGTTTTTGCTCCGTATTATTATTAAACTTCCTCCTTTTCTCATTATAGTAAGGTTCACGACCTTCATCTTGTTTGTCGATGTCATCTAAGTTTCTTAAGAAATCTGTCGTGTCTATTATTGTCTCAATTTTAGCGGTATCGGATATGATAATGTTTGTGCCTTCTCAACAACATAAAGAAAATAACTAACTATGGTGGGGTGTGTACTTCTATTCCATTTATTTTGCACAAGGAATCTCTTTACTTTATTTTGTTCTTCTTCACCCCAAAACACTCTTAGGAAGTCAGCTTTAAAATCATCAAAAGTTGTCCAACGCACATTATTAATGCGAGCCCAATACTTGGCTTCACCTACTAAGAAGCACTCTTGTGCAATCGAAATTTCGAGACCATTAGATGGAACTTTCTTTAAATAATTGGTGAGATCTTCCAAAAATGATACTGGATGAGTATTTCCATTTCCAAATTTCGGCTTTTCTATTGTTACATTATGTACATTATATACAATATTTTGTCTAGGATCATTGACATGAGAGGTGCTCGCCCCGGACACCTCTCCTTGATTTATTTTAATTTGGTGATCTTTCGTTTGGTTAATAAATTTTTCCTCAAGATCCTTTATTTTAACCTCAAAGGTTTTCACTGCATTCTTAATTAATTTCTGCAGCAATTTCATCTCATCAGGCTTAGCCTTAATTGAGGTAGATTTTTTCTTATTTTTTGCCATTTTAATTTTTATTTCCACTTATTTCACTTTTTATTATTTCGCTCCGTTATGCACACACCTCCTATATTATTACTCAATTTTAATATTTAAGCCCCACCCCCAGAATCTCAACCCCCAGCAAACACCACTCTCCAAGACACCTCTCCATTTCGCGGACAACAAATTGTAGGCATATAGCCTACCTCATATTTTTATATTACCGGCCTCCTATTTAAAATTTAACCTCTATCCTGGTCACGGCACCAAATTGTAACGAACCCCCCCCCCCCCATCTTTTTCTTTTTTCTACTATATATCCACTTATACTTGTATTTCTTTAGAATCTATATCTGTAAGGATATATAAATATATCTAATTTACGTGACCAGTATAACTTGATCTTTCTAAAGGTTTAAATATAGGCCGTTTAATAAATTTATGGCGTGATCGTCTTAGTTAGGACCCTTTTTTACGTTGTGTTTGTATAGTAACTTAGTTCTTTTAGGTGTATCTTGGAAGAATGAATATTCACGAGAGCAATCGAAAGCTGTTGGTAGAGTCTTATAAGCTAGCCGTTCACGAAGACAGAGCTCAATAAGTTAAGAACAATAAATTGTCCCTATTCCACTTGTATCTGGTTCACATCAGTCAATTCCTTATTAATTAATCCCTTCCCGCTTGGAAAAGGCTTACAATATTTATATCAAATACCAGTTACAAGGGCTTCGCTCTCCCACATTTAAAAAAAATGTGGAGGAGGTACACGGCCCCACACACGCCGCGCACGGTGAGCGCCAACCATTTTAATGCGCTCCCCCCGAAGGGTACGCAAAGTTGGGAACTGGACCGTAGTCCACAGCAAAATAACTGGCGAACCAGTAAAAGAGGACTTGGCCCCTTGACAGTGCGTAAGCACAAATATCGACCGAAGTCGCGCATGTCAATGCGTGTAAACGCCATACAGAATACGATCAAATCCAGCCACAGTGAAATGTACGTCACACGGGTTAGGCAACAATCGGCACACTGACCATAAAAAGCCCTCCGTGAGCGCCACCACCTGCCAGACCGCCGTTTCTGCAGACGTGATGTAAATGTAAGGCATCACCACCAATTGCATGGTCAGCACGGCCAATTGGCCGCAGAGCGTGTCATGAGTCTACCGCTCACCTCAAGGGAATGGGGTCCCACGTTGCGCGGCTTTCGGCCGCAGCCTTGAGAGCCTCCTCAGATTCTCCCTCCAGCTACCACCCGCATGAGGTCAACACATATGCTCCACCAACCAATACAATGGCAGATATAGCCAATAGGCAGTTATAAGATAATATTAATAATTCGCCATCAGAAAGGGTTTGTGTCACTGACGTTGAGTATATGCATTTTTCGATCATGTTTGTCTCACCCACCAACAAGTTGCCTTCAATCTCTCAAAGGTGGGAACTTTATAGAGATATATTATTAAGTTGTTATATAAAACATCATGGAGGGCAGACAGTCTGCAGCCCCGCAATGAAGGGACCCGACTTGGGCAAAGCTACTTAGGTTGTGAGTCAAACCAAGACGCAGAGAGCGCCATTGAGAATAGCGACCCGCGAAACAACCATCGTAGAGACGCAATGCTACAGAATGCAACAAGCATCAATACGACTATCGTCGGGCTTACACCATCCCAAGGTACCCCATACAGTCCCAGCAGACATCACCACCCGCATACCTCCATCGACCAGAACCACAAGATGCATCGAATCAGGTGCAGCACACCCGCAGATCCATCACAAGACACAATACTGCAAGTAGCAGTAAGCATCAATGCAACTATCATACGGATGGCGCCCCCTCACAACACACCCACATGATCCCTATCGACTTTGGTAACAAAATTTGATAATGTTGTTAACTAAAAATACCACCAACGTATCATAGTAGCACGGTACTAAGACGTCAGTAGCCAATACTCCACGTATCATAGCGCTATTGCACTAAGACATGAAGTTGAGTATGCTTGCTGCACTTAAAAGTACTACCAAACACACTCACCCTAATCCGAAAGATAGCCGACGTATCATAACGCTATGCGCTAAGACGCCGCCCACAACCGGTAGGGGTGTGCGATGTCCACGGGCAAGTCGTATTGCTACAACAAACCCGCTTACCACCGGCACTAAGATGATATGTCTAGGACATATCGGTTAGTGAGTCCAAGTTTACCTCGGTCTCAGAGGCTGCGAAGCAACCTACACGCCACTATAATAATCCTTTTCAAGTCCCATTTCTTTCAATATAATGCTTTTACATATTTGAGACCTTCCACATATTTGCTTTATTTCATAGACCATACTACTGTATGTCTTATTCATATGGGACTTCAAGTCATAACTCTGCTATCATAATGCTTATGCATCATAGAGACCTTCTATATTAATGCTTTGGTTCGTCAGACTTAGAAATTTTCCAATTATTACAAGAACACGTTCATCAACTTAGAAAATTTTAATCCATTTTTTTCTATTATATTACAAATGTTATTTATCTTTGTTATTGCAATATAATCGCCTTGTATTTATATGATTTGATACATTTTTAACATTTTAAGCAGTTTTTAATAAATTTAGAGATTTTTAGAGACATTTTATGCGTTTACTAATATATATAATATTCAATATTCCAAATGGATATTTTTGAACTCTATGCTTATTATTTGCATTTTATTGTTTAAATTATAATTTCTATGACATTTTTAAATGTCTGTATAATGAATTTAATTATTATTTATTAATAATAATTATGAGGCGTCACAATATGCAGAACAAACAGCATTGGTGACAGCACGCAGCCTTGTGGAATTTGTTACATATAAACTATATTAACTTTTCCCATATGAATGACCATAACCACTACAACTTATGAGTTATATCTTATAGCAATATATGTCCCCCAGGGATAATTTTATCTTACATTTACTTCAAACGATTTTCCAAATGTTTTACGCGTAGTGGTAGTGTCATGCTGCAGCTATATTATGGTTGTAGCACGAATGGGTCGGCTCGACCGGGGAAGGACCACGCTCTCACAGAAAACCAGCGTAAAATAGCAGCTTAACGTTGCTGTGTTTCGTATGGTGAGTGTAGAGAACCGGAGACCCTTTTTACTGGCAAAGAGGCATTCCATCTTAGTCCTCACGGGTGACAACGCATCTGCATCTTGAGTCTATTAGAATGTATTGTAATTGCATAAAAGTCATTGAGGATAGATGTAGA